TTCAAATTTTAGATCGACGTGCAGGCCGCACCGGCAACAACACACCGTAGCCGTCACGACGCCGCTGAGAAAACTCACTTCTCTACGTGCCTGTAAACAGACGCGCGACCCCAGCGAGCGCATGACCGTAAACAAAATAACGGGACTTCGCGACCTTTCACTGCCCGCACCCCGATCCGATACTCGACGCGCGATAATAACGCGCGCACTCATCCAACTCTTTTACTCCTCTAAATGCGTAAACAGCGCGCCGGCAACCAACAAGTTTCTTCTATGCACACACAATATTAATGTCCCACTGACGGTGTAAACATCGGACTCGCCAGCAAGCACATGCCAAGCGAGTCGATGCCTAGCGAGAATAACAACAATAACACCACTTGCGCTTGCCTACGCCTACTTATACTAAGTCGCCAACAATAAAAAGAAAATTAATTCGCACTACTGACCATTTCCGTTACGTGGTCGACCCCCGTTCCTCACAAAGGATGCCATGTCATGAGTTTTCTCCCGTTGCTGGAGAACACGACGGATTCTTTAGAGATCGGAACCCGGAAGGCCAAGCTTCGCGGGGACGCGATAGGCAACGTTTCGACGCGCGCACGATGGAATAGGCAGGAATGTTCAACACAATAATAACTCACAAATTCGTTTGATACATATATTTATCTACACAGTCTAACAATTATAATCAGTAACTCGACGTAACAACAATCGCGCTCTCGCACTACCGCAGCCGCGAGTTCCTGCGGGAAATCGCATGGAACCCGGCTGGCGCGATGGTTACAAGCTATTCTCCACGTTTCTCCATAAGCTCTCGAGCGAAATAACCGCTGAGCCTCCCTATCCTCCGCGGGTTTCCAGCGACGCAATCTTACAAGAGAGAGAAAAAAACTTGACCAACCTTGAAGAAAATCTGCTCGATGTCCCTGGATTGAACAGATGCTGGTAGCTCGTTCACTTTTTCTTGAGACAGAAGTCTCGTGGCAAACAGCTGCACCACGTTGCACACGCGTCGTAGAATCAAATTTCGCTCGCTTTACAAAGGCAACAGAAAAAACCAAGTAATCAGACGGCGCGGATAAAGCGTGCTACGCTCATTCTTTGTCGCAGTCTACTGCCGGGCACCGAGCGCCCCCCCCCCCCCCCCCCCCACCAATAACCCTTGAGTAGCGGGCAATCGGAGGCACCTCACGCGTGCTAACCCTGCTGGCGTCCAAATCATATCCTGGTTCCCTCTCTCTCTCTCTTTCTGTCCGGGAAGGGAGAGACGATGTCGGAACCAACGGCGTGAGCCGTTGCTCTCATCACATTTGTATAATGCAATATACTTTACGTAGATTGTAGAATATTTGATCGTACTTATATTATGATTTAGTAAATTATTATACTGTACAGAACGGAAATGAAGAAATTATAAAATTTAGTAATGAATAATCTGCTGAGTATTCATTGATTTGTATTAATACTAGATCACCCATCTACTGAAGAAAAATATTGATACTTCACTTTTCTGTATTTTAGATTTTCACCTTATTGTGAAAAGCAAGCAGCGATGAACTTTGATTTTTCTAACTTTGTTTATTCCGATTAGATGATTTTCAACACTAGAAAAGAATTATAAAGTGTACGGAAAAAATTTTATCTATCATTTGAGTTATAAATTTCCAGGGGGAGTAGTATTTTTTCTATGATTATAGATGTCTAATTAGATCCGTTCTATTAAATTTTTCGAATCTTAGAGCACTGATATTGGTAGCAGGGAAAATATTTATTTGTGTTATAGAAAATTATAGATCCGATGAGCGTTATAGCTCGAAAAACACTCGATACATTTTCAACTTCGTAATAAACGTCCCTAAAATCCATGTATATTTTTATTAGTTCACATTCAATAAAATCCAAATTTTTGGCCCGCTTTATTGGATCCGACATTTTTAATATTTGTAGAACTTTTAGAGTCTGACATCATATATCTTACTAACATATATTTATTGACCAGTGATCCCAAAAATTCACAAATCCACAAATGCAGTTTTCGGTTTACATTTTGCCAAATATGACATTTTCCGTCAGCCACATTGGACGCCATGTAGAATTTTTTAAATGTGACTTCATTTTCGTAATCAGCGATCCTTAAAACCTTAAGATAGATAATTTTCAGTATGTGTTCATCTAGTTCAGCCGCTAACAGATTTATGGAAACACCCTTTTTTGTATATATTTGTATCTGCTGCTTTCCGGATTTTCTTGTGTATATGAGGCCAAAAGGTCATCTTCGTATCGAGGGTTACCCCAAGGCACTTGATTTCCCTCTTGGTCTCCATCTCGTATGCCCCATAGTCAAGTGAAAATTAATTCGCACTACTGACCATTTCCGTTACGTGGTCGACTATTTATTTTAGTTTTTATTACTGGTTATTTATAAACTAAATTATTTATTTATTAAATAGTAAATATTAATGAAAACGAATCAATTTTCGTTTGTATACGTTTTTTCAGGTCAACCGTCAGTTCCGTTTTTTCTGTTGCGAGTTGCAGTCCGTGGTCTATCATCCATCGTCCAACTCATCTCATGGTCTGGTTCAACGTCAGCTGCGCCAGCTCGGGGGATCTCTCCGAAATCACCGCTGCCACGTCATCAGTGTAGGCGACAAGGTCACTCCGAGTGGCCTGTATCGCGTTCATCAGTCTCGGTCTCAGTAATTGTTCAAAAAGTTAACTAGTCATGTTAAGTAAACTCAACGGTCGGAAGACCGAAGGCGTACCAGGATCGCTCCTACCTTTTGGGATAAGGAAGAGCCTTGCCTCTTTCCACCGGTCCCTGAGCGTTTCTATTGTCAAGCACGTGTTGTACAGGTCGAGAAGTATCACCGACCGTAGATGAGTCACGAGCCAGAGGATCTCGGTCGGTACTCCGTCTGGTCAAGGTTTTGCTCACTGTTTTCGTTGATTATCGTGGCATAGTACATCAAGCGTTTTTTCCGCAAGGTCATATGGTCATTAAAGAGACCTTGAAGTTATGCGTCGTTTGTGACAAGCAATAAAAAAAAAAGTCCAGAATTGTGGAAAAACAATTCATGGATTTCGCATCACAATAATGCACTTGCTCATTCATCATTGCTTGTATCGAACAATTTAGCCAAAAACAAAACTACAATCCTGCCTCAGGCATCATATTCACCGGATATACTTTTTCCTGTTTCCAAAACTCAAGAAACCCATGAAAGGACGGAGGTTTGAAACGATTGAGGAGATAAAAACAAATCGCTGGATGAACTCAAGGCTATATCAGAAACTGTTTACCGGAAGTGTTTCGAGGATTGGAAAACACGTTAGCACAAGTGTATTATATCTGAGGGGGAGTACTTGAAAGGGGACAGTATAAATATTAATAAATAAATAAATATTTTTTCATAAAAATGAAAATTCACCTTACTATTTGAACTCACCTCGTATATAGCATCGATTATGCTAGTCACAAAGGTATTGATCAAACAGATGATGATATTCAAAAAATTTTCCTTCAGAATCGTTGCATTACATAAAAGAAGGCTTCCCACCACATATGCTAGAGCTTTGAGTAACTGCTATAATACGTTAATTCGAAATTTGAACATACACGAAGAGCTGTGTAATAGAACAAGATTAAAAATTATTCATTTATAGAAACATTCAATGTCAAATTATTACTGGAGATAATACCGGAAAAAAAGTTTTTCTACCAAAAATAACTTTAAATACTAGAAAAAAATTCGTCTTTACCATATATCTTTTACAGAAAACAGTTTCCTATAGTGTTAGCTTTTTGCATGACTATATATAACGCACAAGAAGGAGATTTCGAGTTTGTTGGAATATACACTGACAGACCATTATTTTCACACGGCCAATTATATGTAGCATTAAGTAAATGTGAAAATCCTAAAAATCTGTCTGTTCAGAATATAAGTAATATGAACATAATCAATAATGTAGTGTGGAAAGAAATATTTTATCATATTTTATAAATGTTATGTTCAATTAATGTTAAACAAATTTCTTTTATGAATTAACACTAATAGGGACACATAAAAAAAAACGCGCCGTGGTATTTATCTCCTGATGATGTGAAAATAATAACAAATGAAAATATATTTTTTTTGTTTCTTATGTATCATAGTAAAAATTTTGTAAAGCATTTCGCCGAAAGGGGAGAGGGAGGAAAGCCAGTGAAGAGGACCCTACAAAAAAATGCGTAAAAACAGGTTGTTTCTGATAATATTTAGAAATGTGGGAGAGAGATGTGGTCCACTTTAAAAAACGCCCTTACGACTATATATACATAGGTAGATATACGGTCGACCATAAACAGGGTGGACCAGTTTAATTGATCCACTCAAATATATTCAGAAATAATCGGTAAAAAAGTATGGTTTATAGAAAAGTTGTCGCGACTGAAGGGGACCGTCTAACTGTAAAGTTGTTTTTGACCTTGAACTTTACTTTCAGGGTCATTTGGAGGTCAAAGGACTTTTTTCCAACGGGAACCCTTATTTCTGACTCTGGACTTAGAAAGAGCGAGAAATTTTATCTCCGAAACGATATTACCAACATTTTTTAACGATCCTTACAATGTTATATCAAGGTCACATGCTAAACAATACTGTGGTTCCTATTTAATATCATTTTCTCATAGAGTAATCGTGATTGATGTACTTTCACAAGAAATAACCTAATAACCTAATAACTCAATAAACAATAACTCCAATTACCGAATAACGTAATAAGTTAAAATCAATAACCAATAACTAAGAACCTTAATAACCCGATAATTCAATGATACAATGACTGTGAATAAATTCAACGTGAGTCCCCTTGCCTGTCACGGGGGGGAATGTTTAACGTCAGTCTCGTAGCCTCTCATCGGGGGATGCTTATTTAACGTGAGTCCCATAGCCTTTCACTTTTATCATATTACGAATCAAAATTCGAAAAAGAAAGATGGCGGATTAGTATACCATATAGCTTCCATGATATTATGGGAGCAATGCTGATTCCGCAGTGGAATACATCTTGATCAGAATGAGCTAGAGCATGAGCAGCTACAAATCCACCATAACTCCAACCCCATATTGCAACGCGTCGTTTATCTATGAAATGCAATGAGTCACGTAGATACCTGAAAAAATTATTATCATACTGAAGGAATACAATTTGAAGAACTTAATATTAAAAATTTGTGTTTAATGATTGTCTTTCAAGTTTTACTTTTTCAAAAGTTAAAAATAAATAATTTTATATATTTCATTTTGACTCGGGTAGTACAAGACGGCCGTGAACTAAATTGCAAAAGTGCGGAATAAATATTGCGAGTAAAATACGAAGGTCACTACAAAGTCAGTTCACAACTCCATACTACACCGGTTCAACAATTGGCTATTTCATTTTGAATTTTACATTTGAATTGTGAAATCTTTATTCTTAATCATCTTTATTTACTATTTTTTATTCTCCACAAATTTATATACCGAATATTATATCTACATTGAGCTATAGTTATAATTTAAAAAAATATATAATGTGACAATTCGAAGTATGCTGCTTCTTTGTCACCGCTCATTCGAATTTACAATCTAATCTTCTATACTTATGAGAGACCCCGAAGCACTGCAAGGTACTTTAAGGACAGTCATAGTTTATTGTATAATTTCATTTTTTATTTTATTCTAATTTAATTTAATTTAATTATTGTTGAATATGTTTGTGTGCATGTGCAGGCTCTACTAGCGCCACCGTGACCGTCCTCCTCTATGCGCCACAACGTGGACGCACTTTTCAACGAGTAGCAGCAATAGCGACAACTACTGTGTTTTTCATCTGTAGCATTACCTATCTTATGTAATGTTAGATAAATAAATAAAGTTAGAGAGAGATTGTGAAATACTAGAGCAAAGCCATTGTCTTGTGTGACTTATTTAATTACCATTTGAAAAGGTTATCAGCACCAGGTTACGCTTCCCCGGCGCGAAAACAAGTTATTTATTAAAAAAGTGAGATTTGCAGTGTCCGCGAAAAAGAGGTGCACCGCATTCCCGGTTTAATGATTGTTTATGCAAGAGAGTGAAGCTTAGAGTGATGCGAAAAAGAAAGAAAATTAGAGAAACAGAGTAATTTTTAGAGACGACGGAAATATCGAAATAGCAGAACAGAAAAGTGCGGATTTTCTGTCGCGAAATTAAAATTAAGGCATGCGAATGTGAGTGAGATAGAGTGAAAAATATAATAACAGCCTTAGAGAAGGGCATAAACGTTAGTGATTCTGGAATGTCCTAGAGTAGTTGCAACGCAAAGCCATTTTTTAGAGTTGGTGTTTGAGTGACAGTCGAACAAAGGATTCGACGCCATGACACCTGGCTAGAAGCACGTGCCGACAAGATTTCGCACGACAAAGAACACGTGATGCGCATGCGCCAACAGTAAAGAATATTAGAGACAAAGAAAGAGCGTGACTCAGAGAGCGAGCACTACTAAGGTCCGTTCACAACAAGAGTTGCGACACGTTACACAAAGTTCGTATTTTGAGTAAACTTACGAAAATTGAGACGTGTTCACAACGGGAGATGTGATAAGCTACATAAAATAGATACACTTAGAGTGATTGATTCGAATCAAAGCGAAAACTCGGTATAAAACTGCATGCGCGTTTGAGTGTGAGCTCACTACAGTGAATATACAGGGTGAATCATTTTAATGCATGGGTCCAAATACTTTCCTGATTTTGCATGATAGCGAAAAATGGCACGAATAAAGGTTCTAAAGTTTAGAGGGGGTCAACCATTGGTGACCTGGGAATTGTCTTTGAACTCAAATTTCAAGGTCATACTAAAAGATACTGTGGTTGCTATTTAAAACATATTCTGATAGAGTAATCGTAATTGATGTACTTTCACGAGAAATAATGCAATAATCCAATAACCAATAATCCTAATAACCTAATAACTTCAAAACCAATAACCAATAACTAAGAACCTCAATAACTTAAGAACTCAATGACTAGGGGCCCAATAATATAAGCATCCAAATAACCTAAATCCTAATAACCAAATAATTCAATGTGACAACGACTGTGACAAAATATAACGTGAGATCTCTAGCTTCTCACCGAGATGCTTGTTCAACGTGAGTCCCCTAGCCTCTCACATTTATCATATTACATTCGATGTTCAAAATATCCTCCATCAGCTTCAAGACACAAATTTATACGCCTTTGAAAATGTTGTACTGTTCTGAGCAAAGTCTTTTTTGGAATTGCTGCACAAGCTTGACGAATCCAGTCCATCATGCCTTCTTTTGTTGTTGGCCTTTGTGTAAAAACAACATTCTTTAAGTAACCTCATAAGTAGAAGTCAGGAGATGTTATATCAGGAGAGTTCGGGGGCCAGTTACCCGGACCTCCTCAACCTATCCATCTCTTCTATAATTTCGGTTTAGAAATGCACGTACTGTTTGTGTGGAATAGGGAGCTGCACCATCTTTTTGGAGCTACATTTGTCCTCGTATTTCCAAATCGACTTCGTCTAAAAGTTCTGGCAATCGATCTGTCAGCAATTCCAAAGAGGTGTTTTGATTCAAATTTTTATCAAAAAAATATGGCCCAATCAGGTAACCGTTGACTATGCCATACCACACCATAAGACTCCATTGATTTTGATGGTCAACAGCCTTATGAATGTGATTCAGCCTTAATTTTTTAACCAAAGTAATGTCGTAAGAATGGTAAAGGAGAGCATTAATAATTCTAAAAGTCTTCCTTCGTGATATACCGATTTCCCTTTCAATTTGCCGACTGCTGATGTACGGTTCAAGATGAATAGCTGCTAGGACGTTTACAGCACGAGGATCATTTGCGTCGTATTTGCGATGCCTTCGTTGACGAAGAAGATGTACACCCCGGGCTCTTTCAGTCAATTAACGTATAATCGCGTGATTAGGATGTCTCCTCAAAAGATAACGTTCAGCATACAGTCCAGTTAATTGTTTTGACATTCTTCTAGGACCATTATCATATTGACAATATCATTAGAACCATAGTCAGCCATGATCCAGTTTTGGTTCAACTATCATTTTTTTAAAGTATGATATTTTCGAGCTAAGATTGTTTTGAACGAGGATTCTTTCGAACTATGATTTTTTTTTGACGACGATTTTTTCAAACTATAATTTTTGTGAGTAAATTTCTATTTTAAATTGGGTGACGATATTTGCTGAATATCTATGTTATTTTATTGTTAATATAATTTTTTAATTTTATGATATTCTATCTTATGAGTTATTGGGTAATATTGAGTTATTAGGTTTTGCGTTATTAGGTTTCTAGTTATTGGTTCCTTAGTTATAGGGTTGTTAAGATATTCAGGTTCTTAGTTATTGATTATTGGATTATTTGGGTTATTGAGTACTTAAGTTATTTCTCGTGAAAGTACATCAATAACGATTACTCTATTAGCAAATGTTATTAAATAGCAATCACAGTATTTCTTAGCATATGATCTTGATACGACCTAGTAAGAATCACGAAAAAATTTTGGAAATATCGTTTTGGACGTAAAATTTCCCGCTCTCTCTGAATACAGTATGAAATATATAGGTTCCTATTTAAAAAACAAAGTTGACCTTTAAATGACCTTGAAACTTAGGTTCAAGGTCAAGTCTGATGTCATCAATAATTGACCCCTTCTAAATCTTACAACTTTTATTCGGGCCATTTTTCAATATCATGCAGAATCAGCAAAATATTTGGACCGATACATTAAAATGGTCCACCCTGTATACGAGGTCTGTCCGGAAAGTATCGGGCCTACGTTTATAGTATATCTTCGCGCCATAGTGTTCGAGCGACCTCTACTGGATAGAAACGTCAACAGTGAAGCCTCACGAATCTATTGGTTACTTACTGACACCTGCCGAACGTATAGTTCATGCGCAGCGTGTCATCGTTTACAGTGTCTTTTTCGCGTTCGTCGGATTTTGATATTGTCAAAAATGACAGAAAAACAAGATCAACGAATTTGCATCAAATTTTGCTTTCAACTCAGAAAAAAGAGTTCGAAAACTATTGCAATGATGCAAAAGGCCTTCGAAAGCGAGTGTATGAGCAAAACACGAATAAAAGAGTGATATAAACGGTTCAAGGATGGTCGCACTTCTGTCGATAGTGATTCTCGTTCCGGCCGACCTTCGACGACAAAAACCGCAGATAATATTGAGCGGGTGCGACTTGCAATCGAACAAGATCATCGTATGACTGTGCGAGAACTAGAAGAAGACCTTGGGATACCAAAAAATATTATTTCAAAAATTTTAACCGAAAATTTAGGAAAGAAACGCGTGTCTGCGAAATTCATCCTAAAATTGCTCACAGCAGAGCAGAAGAACATTCGCTTAGAAATCCCTCTAGACAATCTGGAAATGGTCAATAATAATGATAATGTGCTTAGAAAAATTATTACAGGTGATGAATCATGGGTTTATGGTTATGATCCTGAAACAAAACAACAATTTTCACAGTGGAAGCATTCTGAATCGCCAACAAAAAAGCACGTCAAAGTCGGAGCAATGTTAAGTCAATGTTGATTGTTTTTTTCGATTGTGAAGGTGTTGTACATCACGAATATGCACCAATAGGTCAGACAATCAATAAAGAATACTACGTTCAAATTTTGAAACGTTTGCGTGATGCAGTAAGCAGAAAACGGCCGCACTTTTGGGAAAGTGGTGACTGGCTTCTCCATCACGATAATGCGCCAGCGCATTCATCCAATCTTGTGCAGCAGTTTTTGAGCAAACACAATATCGCATTGCTTCGACAACCTCCATACAGTCCCGACATAGCACCTTGTGACTTTTGGCTGTTTCCAAAACTAAAAAAACCACTCAAAGGACACCGATTCGATGACAAAACAACGGTTGAAAACAATGGGACGAGTGTACTGAAGGCTATCCCTAAAAGTGAGTTCCAGGACTGTTTTGAAAAGTGGAAACATCGATGGAATCGTGTTATTCAATCAATTGGAGATTACTTTGAAGGATGCCACCCACCAGATGATAAAGAATAACGCTAGCACGAAAATATAAAGGTAGGCCCGATACTTTCCGGACAGACCCCGTATATTCCGGGCT